AATAGTTTTTATCAAGTTATATTGAGTGGTTTAAATTCTACAAGTGTTTTTATTGGCGCACTATGAAGTTAAAATTTGACTTAATTTGAACATTCATATTAAATTATTTTCCGCAGACAAAATTAAATGATTTCCAAATTTGCATCACATGGTACCTTGATGTGTACGCTAACTTTCCGTATAAGTGGCGTTCTTGCGACAGCTAGATATCATAGATCATTTATAGATTGAATTAGAGGTTATTGACAACCATTACTCCCAAAATTTAGATTCTGCTAAGATCTTAAAGATTAAAACTTTTTTTTGACGGAAATCAAATCGTTTTTTGTCTCACAACTTTGTTTTGATATGATTTAAAAACTTTTTGCTATTTAGTTTTACAGGCGTTATAAAGTGATTGAATATATAGAATATATTTTAATAAAATAGTAAAATATATTAACCACAGTTCTTAACATAGTAAAGTTAATTAATTTAATTGGTTAGATGAGACATTTTTTGTTTTAATGTATAATCGTGTAAAAGTATTTTCACGTGACGCAAAAGTTTTGTTTGGATTTTGTTATTTATAACAATTGCTAGCGCGCATATCTTGGCTTTTAAACAATCAGTTAAACGTACATCTATTAATACGTCCTTGGTTTAATCAAAGAGGTATAGTTTACAAGCTGGAGAACTATGTGAACAAGACGTGTTTATGACGTATAAAGTACATATTACCTCCGTATTAACAATACGTACTACTGCTTCTTTTAGACGTCTTAAACACGCCAATGGGAGGGAGAGTTTTTGCACAGTGTCAGTACAATTCTACATTATTGACCAAGTTTAGCAACACAAACTTAATTGTTCGAGAAGCTAATTATCATACGAAGTGATCAGAACAATGATAAACGTGCTTTCGATAAACGCATGCATGCTGAAACCTATCAAACAGATAATGAAACCGACTATATAACATGTGTGTACAAATTTTAGCTTGCATTGAAAAATAATTGGGCATAAGTATTACATCCATCTTTAAACTAGTTAATCTACCTAGACTATATGCCAATTGCTTGTCCCAACTGACTGAAGATAAGTTACATACACTAACTTAGCGTATGCATAGCGCTCGGTTGAAAGAAAGACAATTAGGTAATTTTCCAAAAATGCGAACACAACACAATGTTAGTGATGTTTTTAATTATGATTTTTAATGATTACTTGTACTCGATAAAAACATTGGTTCAACATTCTAAAAGCTTGTCAACAACATTGTGATTGTGATGCAGTGTACTTCTCAAAGGCTGCGCAGATTAACTTAATGATTTTTTCACCCAAGCCATCTCCGGTTAGGCAATCAATTGATATGATTCATCTTCCAGAGATTTTATTGAAGATTATTAAATCGTTTATAACTTAATAAGGTTTTGATAAATTTAAAACGATGTCAACTAATCTTGTATTTCTGCAAATACCGGTTATAACACGAATTGCCGCCATATCTTAAAATGATCAGCATTATTTTCTGAGTGACTGATAAAAGTTTCATTCTTTTATCCGCTTGTGCACTATTTAAGTCATTTTTAACGCTAATCAGCTACCGTCATGCTATTCTGCTGCACTAAATTTGAAGCATGTTTTTAAAATATGCCGTCATAAAAAACCGGTATCTTTGTAATTTTTTTTAACCATACAAAATGCGTACTGATTTTTTGGCCGCAGCACTGTATTTTAGGAAATATTAAAGTCAATACACGAACTATAAATTATTCAAAAGCGATGTATAATATCTGAACCTAAAACGCAGGGCTGTGGTAATGTCAATGTTCTAAAAAAGGTTTTGTGACGTCCTAAAATTTCTTTCCCGTTTGATTTCAACTAGAAATGGTATACGGTAAAGATCCAATTTTAAAAAAATAGCTTTTTTTTTCATGTAAGTTGCTTAATTTGACAATTACAAAACAAAAAAAACAATAATAAAAAAAAGTTAAAGTCTTTAAGGATGAAGTCTGCTTTAGAAATTTAAAAATTAGTGTTATTTCTTTTAAACTTTGAAAAAAAAAAAGATTTTTCTTAATGTTTTTCAGCGTTTTTTTCCTTTTCAAATTTTATCAGATAAATTTTAAAATAAAGCTTGAAAAATTACTAACGCCAAAGAACAATTTTTTTTTAATTAAATTACAGCATCTTTTCGTTGACAAAATGTGTGTGTAAATTGTATAATTTCGCCCTTCTTGTCTTCGTTGTCAAAGCTGATTGTTTGTTTTTGAAACTGAAAATTATTTAGATTTGCCTACGTATTTCAATAGTTTAAACCCCAAAAACTCGACCTTACTTTCTTTGGAAAAAAACGTTTCAAAAAATCAGTTAGAACAATGTAGTAAATTTGTTAGAACAAATCAGTTAGAACAATGTAGTAAATTTGTTAGAACAAATAAGTTAGGACAATGTAGTAAATTTGTTAGAACAAATCAGTTAGAACAATGTAGTAAATTTGTTAGAACAAATAAGTTAGAACAATGTAGTAAATTTGTTAGAACAAATCAGTTAGAACAATGTAGTAAATTTGTTAGAACAAATAAGTTAGAACAATGTAGTAAATTTGTTAGAACAAATGTAGTAAATTTGTTAGAACAAATGTAGTAAAAATGTAGTAAATTTGCTTTATTAAAAGAAAGTAAAAGCTTTATTAAGTGATTTTAAAAAGTAAATAAATTGATAAAAAAAAAAAAAGAAAAAATATTTGAAATTACTAAATTAAATTTGTGAAAAAATTTCTCAAATGAAGAGATACCGTTACATTGTTATATAATCATTGTTATGAAAAATTCATTGAACTTCATTTTTTATATTTATCATTTTTAGATAAATTTCTTATTAATTATTTTTTTGAGTTTATACTACTTCATAATCATTTTTGAAATAGATATATAATTTTGACCTTGTAATTCCAACCTAAAATAGGTTTATTTATTAATTATTTTATTTAAGTTGATATATTTAATGTTTAGTATCGTAGAAGTAATTTTTTTATTATTTTCATTTTTAAAACTATTCTAATTTAATTACCTTCTTACGTTTCTACATTTTTTTTTAATGAAACTGAATAGAATGTAAATATGTAAATAATTAAAGCTCTTGTAAGTAACACAACTTTTGAAAAACCATAAAATTTAGGGGGTATTATGCATTTCTTTAAACATTTGATATTTTGTTAAGCAATGTTTTAATTTTATTTTTCAATTGTAGTTTTCTTGCATAAAAAGAACATTAAAACAAATTCGCTTTTTTTTAGTTAATTAATTGAGAACTTCTCAGGGCCGACGACACCGGCGGGCTGGCGCACGTGCTCCACCCCCACAAGCACACTTTTTTTTCTAATGGCTTTTTTTAATAGGCGATTGTACCCCTCCACTTCGAAACACGTGTCGTCGGCAATGCCTCTTACAAATTATAATTACAAATCTAAAAAGTTATCATTTAAACCCACATAAACATAATAGCAATTAAACTGTAAAAATATTAAGAATAATTACCAACCCAGTGGGCATTTCGACGTCGAACGAACGTCGAGCGACGTCGGATCTCGACGTCGGATCGACGTTGGGTTTACGTTGGAAATGGAAATGTTATTTGACGTCGGATAAACTGACATCGCGCGACGTCGGCATTCCGATGTAAATCCAACGTGTTTTTTGAAAACTAAAAAACGTTGCCTTAGGCAGGAATCGAACCTTGGTCTATTAGAAGCTATATGCTACGCGCTTACCACTACACCACAGGGACATATTTTATAATACGTTTATTTAGTAATTTATACTTGTAGCTATTTGGGAATTATTACTTTGATAAGAAATAATTTTGTTTAAATATTAAATAAATATTAAAACGAATAGTTATATATTATAAAAAATGTATACTCGAAAATGTTAATAGTTAAAAATTTTGTATGATGCTAGTGCATCATACAAAACCTCATGATGTTTTATCAACCATTATTCAAACTTCTTTCCATTAATAAAAATCACGCTTAGTTCACATATTTATTGAAGAGCGCAATTGCACACATATTGTTGGGTTTGGATTAAATTTTCATCAGCGATGTCTTACGACGATGTTCCGACGTCGTTTTAAGGACGTTGGATTGACGTCGGAAGACGTCAAAAGACATCGGAGTACGTTAATATTATGACGTTGCCCGACGTCTTTTTATCGACGTTGGATCGATGTCAGTACTGCGACGTTTTTTGGACGTCTTTTATAAGATGTCGGAACAACGTCAAAATACATCGAAACGACGTCAGGGGATGTTGAGATAAAGACATCGTACGACGTCATTTTACTGACATCGGAACAACGTCGGAATAGGTCTTTTGACATCGCTGATGAAAATCGTACGTAAATCCGACGTCGGATTGACGTCGGGTGCCCACTGGGAAGTGCCATCATGAAATATTTTGACATTTTACGTAATTTATTCTTATTATTTAGGTTCTATTTTTTTAAAAGACTGCCTCTTTCAAAAATTGTGTCTTGCACTTAGATTTACTAAGGTTCGGTTATTGTAAAGAGTTTACTAATCAAATATCAAAACTTGTGATAAAGCAGTTTATCGAATGTATTCGATAAATTGTTTTATCACTCTTTTGCAAAAAAAACTTTATTCCTAGACATCCGACTTTTCATATTTTTTTGCTTGTCTTTTTATTTTTCTTGTTTAATACGTTGAGCTTTTTTTCTTATATCTTAAACTTGATCTTCTTTTGTTTAAGTTAATATTGAATGATTATTTAACTTAAAACATTTTTAAAAGCAATAACATACATATACTCTTAACAAAGTATTACCAAAAACGAGTATTTCTAAATAACTTTTAAATAAAATAATATTCCCCTCTTGCAATAGCAAAAAATGAACTTAAAATAACTAAAAAAGAAAAAATATTTAAAAAAATATTTCACGTATAAAACGCATTTTTTTTAAAAACAAAGAGTAAATTTATATAAATATCAAACCTTGGGAAAATGAGAAAAGGCAAAGTGCAAATAAAAAATATACTATAGAGTTGAATTTTTGAATGCAATCTGGACGCCACGTCCTTATTCCAAATCTTAAATCATCGCTTTTATTTTTTTCATCATTACTAAGCAAAGTATCTACAACCATGTTTTCTACTATAAATAAAGTTCTTGTCTTTTGAATTTTTTTAATCGCTTAGAAACAATCAAGTTATGTTATTTAAACAAACACAAGCGGAAATTATGTAACATATTTTTTTTAATGTAATTAAATTCAAGATATAATTATAATTATAAGCACCATAAGTTGTTTTATCTAAATTAAATGGAGGCATATTTTTATATTATAATGTATTTTAGAAAAATTTATCATTAAAATTAAAAATTTAGGTGACGTATATCCTTTTAGTCTGCTAAGTACTTAAGTTTTTAAACCATTTTTTTTTTTTTTTTTTTTTTTTTTTTAGCTTTTGGCTTATGTTGAATGCAATTAATGCAAGCTACAGTGCAAAACATTATAAAACTATGTCAATATGGTTCTAGGAAAAAATCCCCCCAAAATAATTCCCCGAGAAAAAATCCCCTAGGAAAATATCCCCCTAAAAAAAAAAAAATTTTTACTTAAAAATTATCAATATGTAGTTATGTTTATTTCTTTATTTATTTTAAATATTTATATAAAACACTTTATTTTTCATCAAAATGTCAAGTTATGTGCTATTCCTCAAAGGTAACGAATGTGAAACCCAAACCCTATCCCTGACGAACTGCGAACTGGTTGAATGTGAACTTTTTTGCGAACCATCGTAATTAATTTAGCTGTATTTTTTAAGGACTTTTAAGCGAAAAAATTATTTTAAAAAAATAAAAAAGGAAATTAAGTGAAGCTAGACGAATACAATATGAAAATATATATTTTTTATTAATTATTTGATAGACTGCCTGCCCAAACCATACCCTCAGTCGATGTAGCAGCGCTCCGTTGCGAGTCAGGCTATTTGTCAGTCGATGTAGCAGCACTCCGTTGCGAATCAGGTTATAAGATAGTCGATGTAGCAACACTCCGCGCATGTGTTACAGTTAAAAACAAAAATTTTATTTTAAATAAAGCCTTAAGATAAATAATTAAGAATTGGAGAGATTTTTTATTATTATTATTATCATAAAAATAATGGTCTTTAAAATATGTTTTGTTTCGCAAAAAAGTTCGCATTTTATCGGTTTGCAGTTCGCGGTGCGCAGTTTGCATTTTAGCGACATTTTGATGAAAAATGAAGTATTTTATAAAACTATTTTATATAAATATAAATATTTTATTGATAATTTTTGATTTAAAAAAAATTTATTTTTGGGGGGATTTTTTCTAGGGGGATTTTTTCTCGGGGGGATTTTTTCCGGGGGGATTTTTCTCGGAGGGATTTTTTCCTGCTACCGCCAGTATTATGTGTTGTATGTAAGTTTTGATTTTGACAGATGCGTACTTTCTCTTATAATTTATATAGCTTTACTATCTCATAATTTATAATTTGTATAGCTTTACTATCTCTTATAATTTATATAGCTTTACTAAGTTTTATTTAACATAATATTTTTCAATGCGTGATTTCAATCTTAAATTACTAAATTGAAAAATAATATTTTAATAATAACTTATATAAGAAATTTTAATAATAACATAAAATTCGATTTAAAGTTTTTGTTTTAAATTAAGTTTTCTGTTAAAAACATCAAGAGTTTTTAAGGGCTTGCAAGTCGGATATTGAAGGTTTTAAAAAATTATTAAGGTTTTTAAAAAATGGCAACCAAGTAAGGTTTACAACCCTTTTCTATTCATTTTAAAGAAAGGTGGTATTTATTTTACGAGGTCGTGGCTTTTGGCTGTTAAATTATTTTTTTTTATTTAAAAAATTTATTAATATATTAATTTTATTCTCATTTGTGTAATTTTCTTTTTATATTTGAAAAGAAATACTTTTGAGGATTTTGAGCATCATCGGCATTTTGTGTACTTTAATAAGCATATTAAAGTACAAAAAATGCCGATAATGCTCAAAATCCTCAAAAGTATTAAAAATATAATTTGTCAAAAAGGAACCCTATTACAGTTGAAACCTTAAACAATTGAAAAGCAAAAATGCTTTTCAATTCAAATCTCTAATTTTGAAAAATTGGGAACTAAATTAATTTAAAAACACTTGTAAACTTAGTAATAGAGAGGGACTTAAAGTTCTTAGCATTTTAAGAAGCTAGAATGGAAGAGACTTATTTGAAAGTACTGTTGGAGGCAAAATAGGAGAAGAAAATGACTTCTTCAATGATCATTTTGTTTTAGCTTTTTGAAAAATTATTCATGACAATTAGTTTATAGCAAAAAATTTGTTTAAAAAATTGTAAAAACTTCGCTGTTTTGAATTTAAATAATTTACAATACTATTGTGCTTTTGATATGAAGTTGTTCAATACCATTTTTGGATGTAAAAGTGCGGCGTTAACACATCCTAGCTCTTGTTGTAACTTTAAAAAAAAAAATACAAGGTTTTCAAACTCGCGGTACTCATTGAAGCCAAAGTTTAGGTCTTTTTTGTTTAAACTTCATGATGGTCTATTTTAGATTGGAGAATATTCAAACCTACATAAAAAATAATCACGCGTTAGAAGAAACTAAAAAAAATAAACCTATCAGTTCTATAGTTATTTTCTTAATATGTTTAAAATTTGTTAAAGCTGCATATCTTGGACGTGGCTTGCAACCCGAACAAAATTCAACTAACCAGGTACAAAGAGATTACATTAAACTTGATCTATGAGTATTCTAAAAAGTGCAAGCCTATTTTCAATATTCAATTCAATAGCGTATTGGTTTTTGGTTTAAACAGGTTTCTGAGCCCCTCCCCGTTACAGGTTTTCGACCTCCTCTCCCATTGGAAAAAGGTTTTAAACTTTACCTGATCACCATTTTTAAAAAGATTAAAAAAATTTTATTTAGATCTAAATACATAGCATTCTTTAAAATATATAAATTTTTTTTCCTTTTATATTTGAGACAGCAGGACCGGAACATTCTAGGTAATATGGATTTCAGACTTAGATCACTGTAACTTTTAATAAGAATTTCTCGTTTGACAGCAGTATTCATATAATAAAACTTAAATTATCTGAATATAGATACCGCGCCTTTTCTGGAAGTTACCGATTATGAACCCTAAAAGTCCTTGACCTGCTTGTTCAACACCCATTTTTTGCAAGACGTCGAGAATATTTAAAACTGTCTTCAGTAACGCAGTTTCGATAATTAAAACTGCTTAAGGTAAAACTTATTTTTTCAAATGAAAAAGTGAAGACTGTCATTATAAGTATAAATATATATTTACAACTGTTATATATATAACCGATGTTGTAATATCCTCTAAGACCTATTTTTTTTTTTTTAGTGGTTTAAGTATATAAAATCATTTTAAAACCATATATTTTTAAAAACTACGGAAGAGTTTTATGTAGTAAACATAATATGACATGGAAATGTAGGTCCAGAATAAAAAAGTTTCAAACTACTATCCATTATTACCTGATTTTAAAATTTAATTTTGCGGCTTTGGCCCCAACAACAAGCATTTCTAGAGATCAATACACGGTTTTCGAAACTCAACTATTGTTATACAAAATGTATACACAAGAATATACAGAACAAAAAATTTCGAGTAAACAAACCGATTATCGCTGTAAAACACATGTAAAATATCTAATTAAAATGAGTAATAATAACGATTTTAGTTATTATTAATAACTAAAATCGTTACAATCTATTGATGACTTTAAACTATTTAGTGTAATATATATATATATATATATATATATATATATATATATATATATATATATATATATATATATATATATATATATATATATATATATATATATATATTTAGTTTAATATATTAAAGTCTTTTCTACCAGTACGAAAAAAATCTATATTTGGATCAAATTTAAGATAATTTTGATAGGATTTAACAAGGAAGCTAACGCCTCATTACCTACCAATTCATTCGTAAAAATTAAGGTTTGAACTACTTGGTTAAGTGAGGTTCCTCAGTGCTCTGTGATAAGACCGTTAAAACTTCTGGAAGGATCTAAATAAATAAAAAAAGTAACAACTTAACAAATTACTGCAATCATGCATATATAGTCAGAGCTGGCATCAAATACGCTAGAATATTCTATCCGATTCAGGGTATTTATTTCTGGATATAGAATATCCTGATTAAAAAATGAGAGATATGTAGTCAGCAAGAAGAAGACAGCTACTCAAGACATAAGTAATAGTACAGCTTTGCTTTCAGGCCTTCAATAGCCTTCCCAGCCTGCTAATTAGAAACAGGATATTATTGTTTTACCCCACCCCCTCAGCCTGTTAAAGATTTATAAGTAAATAAAAAACCTTTCTTGTTATTTTATATAGTAAACCATATAGTGACTTTGAACGTATTATAAAAAAAACTCGAAACTATAAACAAAGGATTAGGAGCAACAGGATATAAAAAGATTCTATTAAGTTAAGCGTGAACCAAAACTGCAACAAAAATAATGACTATGTTATAATTTTGTTTGTAATATATAAAACTACTTATTATTGTTTTATAAAACAAAAATAAAATTACAAATATGCTTGAATAATACTTTTCAACAATCAGTAGCGCAACTAGGGGGGTTTCCATGGTACCCGGAAACCTTTAAAAAAATATACGCGCTTTGGGTTTTACAAAGTAAAAATCAAAGATTCATAAAGTCCTAATTGCGCTGCTGTATATATATATATATATATATATATATATATATATATATATATATATATATATATATATATATATATATATATATATATATATATATATATAAGTACTAAGTAATAAGGAACTAGAACATGGCTGTTTAATAAAAAAAATGTTTAGATTTTGATCGAAAAAACATGGTATTACAGTATGTAGTGGAGTTGACGTTTGAGTCACTATTTACTGTACAGGGTTGCCACTATAATTTTTAAAGTTTTTCCCTGCGTTTTCCATGAGTATTCCCTGAGTAAAGAACGTTTTTCCCTGAGTTGAACTTTAAGTTCCCTGACTTTTCCCTGACTTTTCC